GCAAAACTAGGCCTCGGTAAAAAGCAACCCAAGTGCTACTACATTATTAACTAAGATACCTTCGCTACCAATAACTGCGTCACATCACTATTTCAACTTAAGGAGAATTCGTCCAAAGAAACGCCGTCAACACACTTAAATCATCTCTCTCGAACTGGGCATGAGCTTATATCAAGGTAGATACTTTCTACTGGGTAATCTGCTCTAGCCAACTCTCTGCCTCCTAACGAGTTTAGCCTCCTACCGGATCCAAAACTCTGGTTGGACTGGGGCGAAAAGGAAATCCTTTAGTAAGTTTGAGAGCAATGCCCACTTGCCGTCCTCAGTGCGAGCATATGGGCGTTCCTGCACTGCTCTCCAAAATCTCTACTGATGGGGGGCAAGTATTTCCCTCCTTCTGCTCGGGAAAGGTTGAGGGATCAGTTTTTGGAGTTGCGTCAGGATGATACTCCTGTGGCACAGTTTGAGATGCGGTTTGCTAGCTTGTCGAGGTTTGCTCCAGAGCTGGTGGCAACAGAGGAGCGTCGTTGTTTTGAGTTTGAAAGGCGGTTGTGTTTCGATATTCGGGAGAAGGTAGCTGGATCCTTTTGGAAGGATTATTATAATTTAGTCGAGGCAGCGGCCCATGTGGAGGCCATGATGGTGAACGATGATGGGGTTAAGGAGGAGACCGTTTTGGTAAGTCCTACAGTTCCTAAGCGCTCTAGGCTCAGTAAGGGGTGGAGGCGGAAACATGCTCAGTCGGGGGCTGGTTCCTTTTCTTCACCAGGGGTTTCGGACTCTTCTGTTGGGAGGTCCGGGGAGGTGCAGGTTTCAGACCAGTCTCAGAGTAGGGGGTCTGGTGGTTGTTTCGTTTGTGGCCAGCAGGGCCATGGCAGACGTTTTTGTCCTTTGCGTGTAAGTTCTTCGGGTGTTTCAAAACCCAGTCAGACTCAGTCATACCCGTCCAGTCGGGGCGCTATCGGTACCAGAAACGGTCAGGCCAGGCTTCGAGAGCCTCGCGAGGGGCGACTTATTAAGTAGCTTGATAGTATTACCCTGGAGGGGGGGGGACTTTTGTGTTGTTGACCGGTAATGTATTATGTGGATGATTTTGTTGTTGACCGGAGCACTGTTGGATGCTGAGGCACCATGTTTTTGTATTGTATGTATATGTACTTTGTTGTTTGTTTAATCCTCAGGTATTGGGGAGTATGTATGGGTTTTAAGCTCTCTTTTATATTGAGAAGTTGTTAGTGGGGTCAATGATCCTAATGTTGTTGCTTGCTTGGTACTGTATGATGAGTTAGTTGTGTAACGGCCTGTGTGCCTATTCACTTTAATGATTATTTGTTGAGAACGGGAATCCGTGGGAGAATGTGTTAGATGTGGTGGTTTTGAGAGTTGCGGGATGTTGGCAAGGTTATGTGTGAATGTTGGGTATGGTTGTGAGTGGAGGCTGGCAGCATTCTTAAGAGGAAGAACAGTTGTGTTCTAGAGTAACGAGAATAGCGTTGGTGTAATTGTCCTTCGTGATTGGGTAGTCGTAATTAGAGTTGACCTTGTCGGTCCTCGGTTGAGGAGATGAGCAGGCTTGCTACGTAGCCATGGGAGGGAAATAGTAATTCCCTTAGACACAGTGTTGGTGTGGTTTGATTTTAGGAGATCCGTTGAGATTCCAAAATTTGGGGGTTTGTGTGGGGAACTCCGCGTGTGGGGTTAGTGGCACATCAGTGTGTGGATTAATGAGTGGTGGTTTGCTGAGTTGTTTAGTCAGCTTGTTGGTATCGGGTTTTGGGTCGACATCGGTCACCGTGAAGTTAGTCTCGTTTGTTGTAGACTTTATATGTTGGTTAAGGAAAACTGAAACTAATCGAACATGTTATGTCATTGAATCTGACGGTGAATTGAATACATTAATTCTTTGTATTGATTGATTGTGTATAGAACCCTTGTGTTTATATGCATTGCTTATGTATGGGAGGAGATGGGGGATGTACTCCACGGTTTAGGGGAAGATGGGGGATGTACCTCTAAACCGGTTAATGGTTAAAGGAAAATGAGGGATGGACCCAGTGATGCAGCTCATATGCTCTCCCATTATGGTGATGACATAGCTCTTATGCTTGTCCAAAGAAGTGTTGATATAGCTCATATGCTTATCTGTTGTGGTAGTGATATAGCTCATATGCTTATCTTTGAAAGTGTGATATAGTTTTTATAGTTTTGTGTTGATAGTGCTGTTGTTATTTCTATTAACTATCATTATAGAAATGTTATGTTTTGTGTTGGTTGTGGTATCACCGTGTGCGTGATGGTTGTTGATAGTGCTATTTTGGAAAGAAATGGAAAACAAAACTTTTCCTAGTATTTGGGCCACCTAAGGGTGTTGTTGAGAAATTGATTTTATTCAAGGGTTTTGAGGATTTTCAAGTGAATGATCTTTGGTAAATAAACGGTGGATGATTGTGTTTTGGATAACACCGTGTTGATGAAAAATGTATACAAAGTTTTTCAGTTTCGCATGGAAAATGCAAAGTTTATTTTGAGATGTCAGCATTGAAAATTTGACTATCTTTGAGAAATATCTCTTGAGCAAGAAAATGTTTTCTTATTATTTACTCAAAAGGTTTGGTTTTGTTGTAGCATTGGTGCCTGCAGTATTGTCGTTTGGAACGTGTTCCCTCGGTTAGTCTCTTCCTTGGTAAGAGTGGATTAAAGGTTTGTAGTGAGAGTAGTTTCTTTCCTAGTACTCGGGCTGAGTAATTTATTGAGAATTTACTGTGAATTTAATGAGTAATTTACTAATAATTTATTGAGAATTTTCTTAGAATTTATTGAAAACTTTCGGTATAGCGATCCCGGTATTCCCTGCTATTGTTTAACCGTAATCCGGACTCAGTTCCGTGGATTCGTTGTTGTTTTATTCTCATTTCTATCCCTTACTCTTGTGTTAGAGTTTTGGGTTGTGTTGGGCAAGCTGGGAATAAGTTGGTTGTGTTTTAAAACTTAGAATTTTTGCCCAGGTTTTGGTCTCTACGCTCGAGCGGCGATTTGACGCTCGAGCGGGTTTTTGTTGTTGCCTTTCCGCTCGAGCGACAGTTAGGACGCTCGAGCGTGAATTTCCTCCTCTCAGCATTTTGGTCGTCTGCAGAAAATTCTGCGAGAGCGCATCCGGCGCTCGAGCGGATCTTTGGACGCTCGAGCGTGAACCTGTGTCTGACGCTCGAGCGGGGTGTTGTACGCTCGAGCGGACCTGTTTTATATCAGTCCGTGAAATCGCTTTTTTTGATCACTTTTTGATTTCCTTGCTCTCTCTTACTTTTTCGAAACCTCCATTGGAGAGCACCTCACTCTAAAACCTAACTTCTCTCTTAGGATTGATCTAGCTAGAGTGTTTTCCTCACCTTGGGGCTTTGTAAGAAGTGTGTTGATCGTCGAGGGCTTCGTTGTGATCCAAGAAATTTGGGATTTGGAGCACTTTGATTTCGGGTCATCTTCTCTATTTGAGTTCTTCATTTGAGGTAGTCCATCTTATGAGCTTTGTCTTTTAATTTTAGCATTTTGATATATTGGGTGTTGTTAGGTAATTTTGAGAAAGTTTGGGGCCTTTGTGCAATTTCACAAAAGTTGGGGTTTTAATTATATAAACCTGTATGCAAGTTAGGCATAGAGAAATGAGATTAATGTTGGAACAGTGATGTGAATGGAACCTTAGGGTTGTCTTGTGAATTATGGCTATTTGCCCTAAGTGGTTAAATTAATTAATGTATATAATTAATTAGAGAAAATAAGGAATTGAACTGAGAATGTTGAAACTGGGAATGTATGGGACTAAAGGGTGTAGTTGAGTCATTTATTGCTCACCTAGTTGAAATGTTGATATATTATCCATTTGTGCATTTACTTCCTGTTTAGAAATAATGGCTTTGGACTACCGGTGGAGGGTAGTGTTGATTGTTGTAGACAATGCATGATGATTAGGCAAACTAGAACTAATCAATTGGATGTGTCATAGAGTATGACAGTTGATAGAATACATTAACTTTATGTATTGATTGATTGGGTATATGATCAATGTGTTTTTATATGCATTACTTGTGTATGGGAGGAGATGGGGGATGTACTCCACGGTTTAGGGGAAGATGGGGGATGTACCTCTAAACCGGGTATTGAAGTATTGATATAGCTCATATGCTTATCTGTTGAAGTATTGATATAGCTCATATGCTTATCTGTTGAAGTATTGATACAGCTCATATGCTTATCTGTTGAAGTATTGATACAGCTCATATGCTTATCTGTTGAAGTATTGATATAGCTCATATGTTTATCTATTGAAGTGTTGATACAGCTCATATGCTTATCCATTGAAAAGTTTGTTTGATTTGATATAACACTAAAATGTATATCATCATTGTTTGCGAAGTATGGAAGTAATTTATGTGTTATTGATACAACACCAAAATGTGTATCCACCTTGGATTTCGAAAGTGTTCTAGTGATGAACTATAATCTCATCAAATGTTTTGGCCAGAGTACTGAGCCTTGTTTTCAAACTCAAAGTTGAATGGAAAATGAAAAGCGAATTGTAACATAGACTTGGCTGTCTTGGAATTTTATTAAGATGTAAATGGAGATGTAAGTATTGACCATCTATCTGTTGCTAATCTTTTAGACATTGTTCATAGTCGGTTTAGTATATTTCTACTGGGCTGTGGCTCACCCTATATGGGAACATCATTTTCAGGTACAGGTTGCATGTCACCTCTAAGGACATAGCTTGGGAGGCTAGGGGCAAGACATACTTTTGTTGCCTTATTTTCCTTTTGATGTATTACATGTAAATTCAAGCCAAGGGCTTAATGTGTAACCGAGTTAATACTCTATTTTGTAACCAAGTGATAACTTGGAAAGCTGTAAGCCCGTAGGGCATTTACTTTTGTTGTTAACGTCTAATACTTTTGTAATGAAGTACTCTGATTATTTGAGGGAATGTGGATCTTTTGTATATAAATGTATGTTTATATTGATGGGTTTAATGTTATTATTTTGAGGGCGTTACAGTAAATTACTCTGTAAATTCTCATTAAATTACTCAGTAAAATTCTCAATAAATTACATGCAAAATTCCCAGAAAATTATTCAGTAAATTCGTAGTAATTTCTGTGTAAATTCTTAGATAATCATTAGAAATTTTTTTGTGAATTACTCAGAAAATTATGAGTAAATTCTCAGACAATTTTGTATAAATTCTTGGTAAATTACTCAGAAAATTCACAAAAATTTTTTAAAACATTACTCAGCAAATTACTCTGTAAATTCTCAATAATTTATCCGATAAATTTTCAATAAATTCTCTATAAATTACTCAGTTAATTATTGGTGAATTACTCAATAAATTCTAAGAAAATACTTAATAAATTATGAGTAAATTACTCATTAAGTTCACAGTAAATTCTCAATACATTACTCAGTAAATTGCTTCATAAATGATTGGTAAGTTCCTAGAAAATTAATCAATAAATTCTCAGTAAATTCTCAATAAACTCTTAGTAATTTACGGAGTAAATTCTAAATAAATTACTAAGTAAATTCATAGTAAATTATTCGGTGAATTACACACTAAATTTATCTGTAAATTACTAAGTAAATTCCCAGTAAATTACTCGGTAAATTCTAAATAAATTCTCTGAAAATCACTCAGTTAATTATCGATAAGTTCTCAAAAAATTCTGAGTCAATTACTTTGTAAATTTCAAGAAAATAACGCAGTAAATTATCTGTAAATTCTTAGTACATTATTTAATAAATTCTAAATAAATTACTGAGTAAATTCTCAATAAATTACTCCTTAAATTCTCAGTAAATTACAAGTAAATTAATGAGTGAATCATTCAGTAATTTATCAGCAAATTACTAGATAAATTCTCCGTAAATTACACAGTAAATTCTCTGGAAATTACTCAGTAAATTACTTAGCAA